CTGCATTTTGTTTCCCTTCTCCTCTCTGCTATTTCTAAGGCCTCGTTGGACAGCCATTTTGCTTTCTTGCATTTCCTTTTCTTTGGGATGGTTTTTGTTGCTGCCTCCTGTACAATGTTACGAGCCTCTATCCAAAGTTCTTCAGGCACTCTGTCCACCAAATCTAGTTCCTTAAATCTGTTCTTTACTTCCACTGTGTATTCATAAGGGATTTGGTTTAGATTATACCTGAGTGGCCCAGTGGTTTTTCCTACTCTCTTCAGTTTAAGCTTGAATTTTGCTATGAGAAGCTGATGATCAGAGCCACAATCAGCTCCAGGTCTTGTTTTTGCTGACTGTATAGAGCTTCTCCATCTTTGGCTGCAGAGAATATAGTCAATCTGATTTTGATGTTGCCCATCTGGTGATTTCCATGTGTAGAGTCGCCTCTTGTGTTGTTGGAAAAGGGTGTTTGTGATGACCAGCTTGTTCTCTTGACAAAATTCTATTAGTCTTTGCCCTGCTTCGTTTTGAACTCCAAGGCCAAACTTCCCTGTTGTTCCTTTTATCTCTTGACTCCCTACCTTAGCATTCCAGTCCCCCAGAATGAGAAGAACATCCTTCTTCGGTGTCAGTTCTAGAAGGTGTTGTAAATCTTCATAAAATTGTTCAATTTCAGTCTCCTCAGCAATGGAGGTTGGTGCATAAACTTGGATTATTGTGATGTTGAAAGGTCTGCCTTGGATACGTATTGACATCATTCTATCATTTTTGAGATTATATCCCATTACGGCTTTTCCCACTCTTTTGTTGACTATGAGGGCTACTCCATTCCTTCTACGGGATTCTTGCCCACAATAGTAGACATGATAATCATCTGAGTTGAAATCACCCATTCCCATCCATTTTAGTTCACTGATGCCCAGAATGTCGATGTTTATTCTTGCCATCTCCTGTTTGACCACCTCCAGCTTCCCAAGGTTCATAGATCTTACATTCCAGGTTCCTATGCAGTATTTTTCTTTCCAGCATCGGACTTTCCTTTCACTTCCAGGCACGTCCACAGCTGAGCGTCCTTTCGGCTTTGGCCCATCCACTTCATCAGCTCTGGAGCTACTTGTACTTGTCCTCCGCTCTTCCTCAGTAGCATGTTGGACGCCTTTTGACCTGAGGGGCCCATCTTCCAGCGTCATATCTTTTAGCCTTTTGTTTCTGACCATGGGGCATTCTCGGCAAAGATACTGGAGTGGCATTGCCAGTTCCTACTCCAGGTGGATTGCGTTTAGTCGGAACTCTCCACTATGTCCTGTCCGTTTTGGGTGTCCGTGCACGGTATAGCCCATAACTTCTCTGAGTTACTCAAGCCCCTTTGCCACGACAAGGCAGCAATCCATGAAGGGGCCAAAGTACAGTAGTTTGTACTTATCCTTCTTAAATTCAATTTTGTTGTTTTCAGCCCAGTGTTCCAGGCTATCAAGATTATTTGAATTTTGTTTCTGTCTTCCAGGATATGAGCTATTCCACCCAATTTTATGTCATCCGCAGATTTGGCAAGCATTCCTTGTACCCCTTGATCCCGATTAGGCAAGCATTCAAGTTTCTGTAACTTTCCCTATCTCCCTTGCATTTTGCTTCCCTTCTCCTCTCTGCTATTTCTAAGGCCTCGTTGGACAGCCACTTTGCTTTCTTGCATTTCCTTTTCTTTGGGATGGAGTTTGTACTTATCCTTGTTAAATTCAATTTTGTTGTTTTCAGCCCAGTGTTCCAGGCTATCAAGATTATTTGAATTTTGTTTCTGTCTTCCAGGATATGAGCTATTCCACCCAATTTTATGTCATCCGCAGATTTGGCAAGCATTCCTTGTACCCCTTGATCCCGATTAGGCAACCTTCAGTCTCAAGAGGCTATGGTAACATACTCTGTATGGAGGACTTGGAACAGCATCTAGTGTGGCTAAGAAGGCCAATTCGAGAGTGACAATCCCTTCCACTCTGAAGAGAAATACAATCTGTCCCCTGTACAGCTCCCAGATTTTGCTGGTTTCAGAACTGCCTCTTGGCCTCGTCCTGCTGGACAAGTGTCTCTTCAAAATGGGAGAGGCCATGATGCACCGCCTGCTTCCAGGCTGAATGCTCAGATGTCAAGGTTTCCCATCTGTTGAGGTCCATTCCTAAGGCCTTCAGATCCCACTTGCAGATACCCTTGCATCACAGCTGTGGTTTCCCTCTGGGACACTTTCCCTGCACTAATTCTCCATACAGGAGATCTTTTAGAATCCGACCATCAGCCACCCCTTGATCCAGTTCATTAATAAAAATGTTGAAAAGCCCAGGACTGAGCCTTGGGGTACCCCACTTGTTGTCTCCTCCCAGTTGGACAAGAAGCTATTAATCATCACCCTCAGAGTACGATTCTCTAGACAATTGTGTATCCACCTGACATTTGCTTTATCCAGCCCACACCTAGTTAGTTTGCTAATCAGGGTATCATGGGGCACTTTCTCAAAAGCTTTGCTGAAGTCACAGTATACTTTATTATTATTATTATTATTATTTATTTAATTTATATCCCGCCTATCTAGTCGTGGTGGACTACTTTACTCTTTGTCTACAGCTTTCCCTCTATCAGGGAGGTTATCCAATTAAAAAAAATAAGATCTGATTAGTCTGGCAGAATTTGTTGTTGACAAATCCATGTTGGCTTCTAGTTATTGTTGCGTTGTTTTCTTGGTGTTTGCACAGTGACTGTTTTATGGTCTGTTCCAGAATTTTCCCTGGGATTGATCTCAGGCTGACTAGACCAGGGACAACATTAGGCTTTCTCTAATTGTCTGGCACATCACCCATTTGCCATGATTTCAAGAAAATAATGGACAGTGGTTCTGAGATTTCAGACAATTCCTTTGGTACTTTTCGATGCAGTTTCTGTAGCCCTGGAGATTTGAACTTGATCAAGGTGAAAAAAGCAGAGCCATTGTAAAACAGTGCCCCCAAGTCCCAGCCCAAAAGGATACAGTGGAGTCTTGACTTAAGAACGGCTTGAGTTAAGAACATTTTGACTTAAGAACCGCTCTCATAGGAAAATATTGACTTGACTTAAGTACTTAGATTTGAGTTAAGAACTAAAAAAACCACATGGGAGGCAGGGAAAGTGCAAAATTTGAACTTTCTGTTAACTGTTGGCCAGTGAAAAGGGTGCCTGTCTGCTTCCTCCCTCCTCCCAGCGTTTAGAGAGTGGATTGGGAGACAGTCTTCAGACTGCCTTGTACTGTCCTGCCTGGACTGTATTTTCCCTGCCTTCCCTGAACCTTTCTTGACCTAAGAAAAAAAGAAACAAAATATCCCCCTCTAGTGGTCAAAGGCGGAATAGCAGCTTCCCATTAGTTTGTATGGACGGAAAAGAGCAGATACGGATCAAATGGTTTTCAATGCATTCCTATGGGAAATGCAGATTTGACCTGAGAACGTTTTGACTTGAGAACTGCCTTCCAATACGGATTAAGTTCTCAAGTCAAGCCCCCACTGTACTATGGCTGATTGTATCAAAAGCTGCAGAGAAGGCCAATAGAACTCCTAGGGATACATTCCCCTGCAAGGTTCCCTCTAAGGTGCACACCTGTGCATGACCCTGCCCCCGTCTGTGCAGGGCTCCCCCTACTGTGAGCATCCACAGTGATTGTTTTCAGCCCCTTTCGTTCCAGTCGGGACAGAACCCCACATGGCAAGGCAGAGTCAGGATGTGCTGGAGTCATGCATGCAAGGGGCAGAAAATTATAGGGAATGTTGCTTCCTTGTATGTTTCTGGTGTATATCATCCACCAAGATACACATTATGTCTCCTACTCCCAAGCCACTGGCTTGTTCCAAGAAGGTACTTTGCTCAGCAGTATGCAAAGTTACCAAAGTCAAGGATAGTCTACTAGTGGCAAACCTAGTCCAACTGTCAAAATTGTCCAAGAAAGATAATTATTTAAAGCAACCTGGCAGTTTCAAATGCTGCATCTAGGCCTAAAGCAGACCAAAATTAGTCTACATAATCAAATTCATCCAAGAATACCTTCTATTGGTAAAATACCACTCTCTTAGTCACCTTGCCCAGGAATGGGATATTTGCATCTGAGCTATAATGATCTAAAACTGCTGGGTGTGGGAGGATTTCTTCAGCAGAGCCCCTTTCAGGATGACAGGTTAAAGCTTTGCCTCCTCTGATAATAAGCATTTAGTATGAATCTCTCTAAATGTCTATAGAATCATTACGTACTGGTCTATGAACACGGTTGGGACGGGAGCCAAAATTGTCCTTTGCCACTCTAAACCAGTAGCCAGTGTGGTATAGAGCAGTGGTTCCCAACCTTTTTGACACCACAGAACAATTGGGGGAGATGCGGTCCATGTGCGGGTGGTGGGGGCGCTCATGTGGCATGCACACGCACACACATATGCACAAAGGCAGGGGGTGCTTGCAAGATGGGTGCATGCACATGCGCAAAGGGGCTGTGTGGGGGAGTGCGGGTGGGCAGTGCAGAAGATTTGTCTCAGTGGCCAAGGCCACGGACCACCACCGGGCCGCAGACCAGGGATTGGGGACCCCTGGTATAGGCAAAGTGCCAGGCAAAACTCAGAACAATTGTGTTCAAATTCCTACTCAGCCAGTGCAACTCACTTGGTAAACCAGTCCTTGAACATCTTACATACAACGTAAAATCTGTTAGGTTATTATGGGTATCTAGGGTAGGTCAGGTCTCACTTTCACCAATTATAAGATGTGAGCTTGATTGTACAATTCCTCATGTTCTGCTAGATTGGATAACACGAAAAGTCGCATGAATGTCCTTTAACTAATTAATTATAATATTACTTTCTCATGTTCCTAGATGCCAGCTGTGGCTTTTGTGGGAATGAAGCAATGTATTTTAAAACAAAGTGCTTTAAAGCAGTTTTCTCTTGAATTAAGTACTACATACTACACTAAAATTAGTAGTATTTTGGCTTAATGTTTTTTCTGATATTTTTCTCTTACAGTTTTATATGTAATACAAATAAAAATGAGGCTGAGAACACGGAAAACTTCTCAGCAGTCAAATCAAAATCACACACAGCGTGCTTTGAGGGTAAAGAGGAAATATTCAGAGGTGGAAGAGAGCTTACCTGTTGGCGGAGGAAAGCCTCAGAAGAATGAAACTGGCTTGTTGTCTTCAATAAAAAAGTTCATTAAAGGTAGTACCGCAAAGGTGAGTGGTCAGCAACTGCTGCTGGTGTTATAACAGGACTGTGTTAATGTTTATAATTTTTCTATCCCTTTAGGTCAAACCTTCCTTTTGTTGTTTATAAAAATATATGTTAATCCAGAATACATCATAATAAAGATGTTTAAAAATATATAAATATATCAGTGCAGAATATAAGCTGAGGGGCCTCTTTATGGACGTCTTCTAAGTATCTGGCCGGCCTCTGTGTAGTTTGAAAGCTGACTAAGCAGATTTGATGCAACAGAGCTGTTATGTTGTTATAGTCTGTATCAGCAAGCATAAAATAATTCATGAAAGGCATTACAAAATAAGTCTTAAAAGTTAGTCAGAAGGACATAAGAGATGAGGCTTGGAAAAATTCCCTAGGAAGCAGTTGCTAAGATATATAAAGGTTCCCCTTGACAGTTTTTGTCCAGTCGTGTTCGACTCTAGGGGGTGGTGCTCATCCCTGTTTCCAAGCCATGGAGCTAGCGTTTTGTCCGAAGACAATCTTCCATAGTCACATGGCCAGTGCGACTTAGACACAGAACGCAGTTACCTTCCCACCGAGGTGGTCCCTATTTATCTACTTGCATTTGCATGCTTTCGAACCGCTAGGTTGGCGGGAGCTGGGACAAGCGACGGGCGCTCACTTCGTCGCGTGGATTCGATCTTATGACTGCTTGGTCTTCTGACTCTGCAGCACAGGCTTCTGCGGTTTAGCCCGCAGCGCCACCACGTCCCTGCTAAGATATATGGACCAGACCAAAAACGCTGTGTTGGTCAGATTTCCACTAACAAAATCAGAAATCAAAGTTTCTGAAGCTTAGGTGCTATGAGTGCAGGCTGTCTTTAAAATAATGAATTCAGAGTCACTCAGGGCCTTAATGTCAATAAATTGAGACTGGAAATAAATCAGAAGCTATAATATAGCTGGTATACAATTAACATAAAGTGTACTGAATGTGAAAGCTTTACTAATAATATGATACCTATATTTTACACCAGTTGTAGTTTTTGAATTGTTTTTAAAGGCAGCTCATTGTAAAACAGCATTAATCCTGTCTGGATGTAACCATTATATTGAAGTTAGGTCTCTTTTTTCTAGGTAGAAGGCACATGGAAAATAATAAATACTATGCCCAAAAAGGCATTCTTGGCCACTAGCACCAGCTGTACCTCCACACTGTTGAGTTCATGATTCTTTGGGGGCATGCAGTGCCATCCAAAAGAGTTGCACATCACTCTTCAGATAGGCACACTTCTGTATGCCTCTGGATTACATTTCAGCTTGATTTTTTCCCATCCACATGAGATTTACTTCCAGGCACAAATTCAGTTGTTCTACCACCTCCCTTGGATTGTTGAATAGAAACAGAAGTGGGCTCCACTTCACCCACGTGATGTCTCAGCCCAAAGGCTGCAGTAATTCTTCAGATCAATTTAGATGTTTAGGGAAACAAATTATAGAATACTGGCTAGATTCAAGAATAAAAATAGCTTTCACAGAAAATTTAGTGGATTTGATCCTGATTTGCAAGAATAAACCAATAAGCTCTTGTTTGCTGCAGACTAGGTCAAATGTTACTCATTTCTGTTGGAAAGGCAAGAGGAGAGCAGAAGAGTGTGCAAACCCACATTTGTTCTTGTAAATGACAAATACTAACATTTGAAGTATGCCTGAATGCTGCCACTAGAAAGGAACATGCTATTTAGGAGGCATTTGTTTGCAGAGATTGGCTCTTTTTCCCATTGTGATAAGAGGCAAGTTGAAGGTTTCCTCTTAATATCTCACCTTGAAGAAATGAAAAGTAGTGACATATTTAATTACCTGTGTGTGGTTTTTTAGATGAATTGTTATGCATTACTGCTTTGACTAGATTTTTAGTACTACTAGTGTTTTCCATTTTTGTGTTTTTCATTTCTCAGAGTGGTATTTTTTTTGTTTTTAAATTGTATATTTACTGTTCTTAGCTTTAATATTGCTTGTCAGTGATGTACAATGCCTCTTTACTCATTGTTTGTAACTTTAAATATTGTTTTTAATTATGTTAATCACTGTTGTATACTCATTTTCTACTTTAAATACTGTCTTTCACTGTTGTAAGCTGCCTTAGGTCCTTTTCAAGGAGAAAGGTGGGGTAAAAAAATTAATTAAAATACCTAAAAACAGTTTATCATTTAACCCAATAGTCTTTGCTCCTGCTTATGTTCTAGAATGGGGGTAGGAAATCTTTGGATGTCCAAATATAGTTGGACTGAAACTGTCCCCAGCTTCAACCAACATGGGCAGTGATTGAGAATTAGCATCAGCAGCAAAGAAGCTCTTGGGTTTCCCACTCCTCTTCAGAGACATGAGACTGTCTGGTTATCCCATTGGATTGACAGAAATGTTTTTCTCTTTTAAGTTGCAAGGAAGGCACTTCAGTAATTTACCCATGTGTGCCTTTTGTCAAATACACTGCAATTCTAATTTGATAATTGACTAGTGCAAAGCTAAAGATGTGAATTTCATTTGTACAAATTTCCACTTCTAGCAGTGTTCCATATAATCTTTTCTATGGGGAAAATTGGTCCCTTTCTAGGACGGCACAAGTAATTATATCCAGTGTATATGCAAGCTGGAATGTACAAGCTGGAATGTTGGATTAATTCTGTCAATTCAGATCCCTGCTCAGTCACAAATTCACAAGTAATCATGTTGCGCCAGGTCCTATATCAGTCTAAAAGGTCTTACACTACAGGATCATATGGAGATAAAAATGGGTAGGGGAGACCCATGTATCTTGAACTCCTTGCTTGAAAGGAGAAGCACAAATGAAGTAAATAATAAAATTAACTCAATGGCAGTCCTATATGTCTCAAGTACAGTCAACCCTCGACTCATGAACGGCCCTAGTTACGAACATTTTGACTTATGAACTGCTCTGATAGGGAAAATATGGACTCGACTTGCAAACTTGGATTCGAGTTATGAACGGAAAAAAGTGCGGGGAAAGCAAGAAATTTGAACTTTCAGTTAACGAAGAGGCTTGCCCGCCACCATGGGAGACCTCTCTGGGGGTCCTCGTCACTGCGATAGGCACCTTCAGAGCTCTCAAAGGACTTTCCCCCCGACATCGGAGGAAGCCCTTTGAGAACTCCGAAGAAAAAAAGGCAGGGAGAAAGGGCTGGAAATTTGAATTTCCCACCCTTTCTCCCTGCCTTTTTTCCTTTGGAGCTCTCAAAGGGCTTCTTATGATGTCGGGGGGAAAGTCCTTTGAGAGCTCCGAAGGCAAAAAAGCAGGGAGAAAGGGTGAGAAATTTGAATTTCCCACCCTTTCTCTCTCCTTTTTGCCTTCGGAGCTCTCAAAAGGTTTTCCGCCCGGCATTGGAGGAAGCCCTTTGAGAGCTCTTGAAGGCACCGATCGTGGTGGCAGGGACCCCCAGGGAGGTCTCCCATGGTGGCGGGCAAGCCCTGGGAGACCTCCCTGGGGGTCCCCGCTGCTGTGATCGGCACCTTTGGAGCTCCCAAAAGGCTTTCCCCCCGACATCGGAGAAAGCCCTTTGAGAGCTCCGAGGGCAAAAAGACAAGGAGAAAGGATGGGAAATTCAGATTTCCAACCATTTCTCCCTGCCTTTTTGCAGGGAGCCATTTACGAATGGCTCCATTCACAAAAAATGGCATTGACTTGCGAACGGAGCCTCAACCTCGTTCGTAGGTCGAGCTCCGTTCGCAAGTCGATGCCAGTTTTTGCCAACGGAGCTGTTCATAAATCGAAAATTCATATCTAGGGATGTTCATAAGTCAAGGGTTGACAGTAATGGGTGGTTTGAAGTTTGGGTCTTTCTGGTTAGTACTCTAGTCCAGCAGTCCCCAACCTTTTTGGGACCACGGACTGGTTGGGGTTGTGTACAGGGGTGTGTGTCGCGGTTGCGCTGTTGCACTTGCAAGCATGACACGCCCACCTGCGAGTGCAAGGGGGGGCTGAAGATCTGTCTCCACATCCCAGTTCCAGGAAGTCCACAGACCAATATCGGGCCATGGACTGGAGGTTGGGGACCTCTGCTCTAGTCTATTGAAAGCTATAGTTGTGAGCATGGGCAGTCAGTGGACCTGCTTAGGACTGGAAAGTAAAAGAATCAAGGGCAAAAACATCACAGATCAGCCAATCACATAAATCACATTTGAACAAATTAATTTTGTAAGTTTATATTTATTTGTGGCTGTTCATTGTATTTGTGGAAATGAGTTTCATTTCTTAGTTTCTGACAGGAATACTGCTGGTGATTAGGTGAAGTGAAACCACTGTAATACTGACAAGGTCATAAACTCATCCTGTATGTTCAAATAAGATCCGGCAAAGTGAGTTAGGCAGTCACTGATCCAAATATAAACTTATTGAGAAATTTCCACAATTCAGTTAGATGATGATGAAGCAATATGTATTTTAACTGAAATGCACAGAGTCCCTTAAAGAGAGGACAAGTTTCTTATGTTCCCTATTTTGGGTATGCAGTGAGAGATTGAAGTGGAGACTCATTAATTAGTAGCAGTTTGCCACTGTGAATTTAGGCATTTTCATCAATTTAACTGCATCAGGATTTGGGTCATCATAGTCTGAAGCAACATTCCCTCAAAGCTGTGTGGTCATGTGGCCACACAGCTGAGCCAGTGTTGCTACCTATTTACTTCCAGTTGTGTCCAGAAGCCTCCAGAAAATTAGAGGAAACGATGGTCTTAAGCATGCAGATGAAATGAATTTGCATTTTTTTTGTCTTCTCTCTTAACAATTTCCTTCATTTCCCTATATATCCATATTTTTCTTTTAATACAATGGCAGACTTTCAGGATCCCAACTTTAACTTGAAGTTATACAGAAACCAAAACCAGCCTGCCCTACTCTTCCTGGGAACTGAGTGCCCTTTAGGGACTGCTTTCAGACCTTATGATAAAATTTTTCTCTTAAATACAAAACTAAGCCTTACAAAAAGAAATAGGAAAATTAAAATGAAGTGGATACTTGCAGTTTTACAATTTGTAAAGAATGGTAATAATAGCCATGAACAATTTGTTGGTATCTTACATAAGTATCTGATTGTAATTTGGTTATTCTCTCCTTTTTAAGGATGAAAAAGAACATCCTGCAAAGAGAAGTAGAATTGAACATGATATAGATGACAACTTGATTACATCTACTCCTCGAACTGGAGAAAAGCCTAACAAACCACTCTCTCGAATTAGGAGAAAAAGTCAAGTGAATGGAGGTTTGTAAATATTCCATCCCAGTTATTGAGACAAGGCCTTTGGTCTTTCTGCATCACTGAAGTAATTAAGACTTGGCACTGGATTCATGGAAGAGAAGGACTGAGCCTGCATTGCCTGGAGTACACTTTGGTTTTTGTACATAATGCCTTTATTGTGTAAATGCTTTGCTGTGTTTTGCTTTTTCTTGAATCTTAACAGTATGCATCTGAGGTAGTTTTTACAGTATGCATCTGAAGTAGTTTACTATGTTTTGGAGACAGAAACCTGGAACTAGAGAAAAAGTCTTGCTAAAGACTACAGAGTGAGCTTATGAGTAGGCTAGGTTTTTAGAGCTGCTGTCTCAGGGCTATTCCAACACTTCATTTTTTAGATTGTGCCAACTGATCATGTGTTGGAAATGGAGCTAAGTGTTGCAGTATGGCGCATTGTTGCATAACCACATTCTCTCCTGAATTAATAAACTGTTCTTTATGAAAATGTGTACATTGTGTTAAGAAACAGCCATACATACATACTTGCACTTTTATTTCCACAAATTAAATTTCTTATTTTTGTCAATTGTCTTTTATTTCAGATTTTATTGTAGTTTTTATTGATTATGATATAATTAGGCTGCTACTGTATACATAAAATATTTAAAAAAATAGAACATAGAATTGTGCAGTCATCTGGTCCAGTGGTTCTCAAACAGTCATACATATATCACTGGCGGGACACGGAGATAGCTGAGATGATATAGTCATTGAAAATTCACTCTCCCTTAGTCTCTGTGTCCTTTTGCAACATAACATTTCGTACCAAGTCTACCTACAATGCTTGTGAGAGACCACATCTGACCCTTTAGCATGCCTGTAGTAATTCAGGACACTCACTGTTTCTCTTAATCATTCATTTCCCTTGTCCCGCCAACTTACCCTAAATGATAAATATAGTAACAATATGCCTGTAAATATATAAATGTCCTTCTTGGAAAAGCTGGGCTTTTGTTTCTTTCATAGTGGAATAGAGTGATTGGTGGAACATAAGATGAGTAAAAGTTTGAGAACCACTGTTCTAGTCCATCCCCTACCATTACAGGAATCCACTAAAGTATCTCTACAGATGGCCATCCAGCCCCTATTTAAAGGACTCCAATACAGGAGAGTCCACCATTTACCAAGGTAACCTGTTCTACTGTTGAACAGCTCTTACCAGTTCTTTCTGAAGGGGCCAACTGCTTCTGTCCTTAATTTGACAAAGTTAGAGGTTGCTAAGTATGATGTGTCTTGCATTGGAAGCTATAGGCCATCACATCAGTCCTAGTGAACTTGCCAGATCGTTTTTTTTCATATTTATCTCCTGCCACTTACTGTGAAATAAGCACATTGGATTTATTTTTCTAGTCAGAAGAGTTCTGAACTACTGAGATGTTTTTATTGAACCAAGTGTGTATTTGTGTGGATTCAGAATATTGTCTAGTGACATCTTTGTAATGGACAAAATATTCCTGCTATCACACACTGGATGCTTTTGCATGTAGTGCTGAAATATGGATGATCGCTCTTTGAATAGGCTTGTTAGCTTCTTCTGCCCCTCTTACCTGGCATAGCTACAAGGAGGTGATCATTTTGAATGGGCTACAGTTTCATGATGTGTCTGAGCTTGAACAGGTTATGATTAGTCTGATTGTCTACAGTTTACAGAACTGTAACTGTTTACAGAATAAGATTAGTCTGAACTATGGTCAGCAAACTATGGTAGGTTGAAATAAGGCATATTCATGGCACGATGTATGAAGGTGGCTTGTTTGAATACACTGTAGTTTAAATTAACTACAGTTTAGTATTTGGAGAAAACTCCACACAAAGTAGCTCAAAGTTGTAGGAAAGGTTCCAGACTCTCAAGGATGCGCCAGAAAAGGGCAGGAGGTGTGCATGCTTATGCATGTGACAATTCAACTGAAATTATACATTAGAATTGAACCAGACACGTGTATTTTGGCTTGTAGGCATTGCCCTTTAATATTTGGGAGTGATGTTTAGTTTTATCTTTGTGTATCTCTCAAATGTGTGTAGTAAAAATGAGACTGTGGAAAATTGCAAGTGGTTTTTTGTTTGTTTGTGATTATATGTGTGCATCCTAGAAGCTGGAAATTATGAAGTGACGAACCAGCATGTTCGGCAAAATGGAAAATTGGATGATAATCCTAATACTGGTAGCCCTCCACGGACTACATTACTGGGGACTATATTTTCTCCAGTCTTCAATTTTTTCTCACCAGCAAATAAAAATGGTAAGTATAATATTAAGTGTTATTTTTCTGTTATGTATATGAAATATAGAAATGGTTACTATGAACGAATTGTCTTCTATCGGGATCACAAAATAATGGAGTTGGAAAGGGCCTATAAGGCCATTGAATTCAACCTCCTGCTCAATATAGGGATCCAAGTTAATACTGGGGGAAATATGTCAGATAGGATATGTTTTGGTAATTTATTCTTCTAACATCTTAGATCTGAAAATCAGAGTGCATGTTAATTCTCTCTTCAACCTAAGTACTATAGCAGCTTATAAACTGAAAAAATTATTTCAGGCACAGCTGGCTCAGACTCTCCAGGGCAAGCTCTTGAAGCTGAAGAAATAGTGAAACAGCTTGATATGGAACAGGTGGATGAAATCATCACCAGCACTGCAGCATCAGCCAATGGAGCTTCTTACACTACCCAAGCAGTACAAGTCAAATCAACAATCAACAATGGGTTGGAAGAAGTAGATGTTACTGATCGTGATCTGCCACCTCTCACTGGTGAGGGCCAGTTGTTGTTGTTGTTTTTTGTTTGTTTGTAGTACATATAATCATAGAATTGGTGAATTGTAAGGGGCCTATAAGGCCATCGAGCTCGAGCTCCTTTTCAGTGCAAGACTCCAAATCAAAGCAGATCTGACAGTTGTCCAGTTTCCTCCTGAATGCCTCTAGCATTGGAGCACTCATCACCTCCTGGGATAATTGGTTCCATTGTCATACTGCTCTAACAGTTAAGACATTTTTGCTGATATGCAGACTGAATCTGGCCTCTTGTAGCTTGAGCCCATTATTACATTACTGCACTCTGGTATGATCAAGAACAGATTCTGCCTTTCCTCTGTATGACTACCTTTCAAGCATTTGAAAAGTGCTATCATATCTCCCCATAGTTTTCTTTTCTTAAGGCTAAACATGTCCAGTTCTTTTATCCTTCCTCATAGGGTTTGGTTTCCAGTTCCCTGATCATCCTTGTTGTCCTCCTCTGAACTTGCTTCAGTTTGTTGGCATCCTTCTTAAAGTGTTGTGTCCAGAACTGGACACAGTACTCAAGATGAGGCCTAACCAGTGCTGAATAGAAGGGAACTAGTACCTTATGGGATTTGGAGAATATACTTCCATTAATTCATCCTAAAATAGCTTTTGCCTTTTTTGCAGCGACATTTAATTAATTAATTAATTGATTGATTGATTGATTGATTGATTGATTGATTGATGCTTCAGTTTGTTGGCATCCTTCTTAAAGTGTTGTGTCCAGAACTGGACACAGTACTCAAGATGAGGCCTAACCAGTGCTGAATAGAAGGGAACTAGTACCTTATGGGATTTGGAGAATATACTTCCATTAATTCATCCTAAAATAGCTTTTGCCTTTTTTGCAGCGACATTTAATTAATTAATTAATTGATTGATTGATTGATTGATTGATTGATTGATTGATTGATTGATTAATTATGATTTCTGTACCATCCATCTGGCAGCCAAGGCCACTCTGGGCAGTTTACAACAACTAAACAGTGACAACAATAGAATCACAAAACATAACACATCACACTGTTGGCTCATATTCAGTTTTTTGCATTTTGTTCCAGTCTTCCAAGGTATTATCTGTTTCGCCCAGTTTTGTCATCTGCATATTTGATTAGTATTCACTGAACTCTCTCATCCAAGTCATTATTTAAAATGTGGGTGAGCCTAGAATTGAGCCATCTGGTACCCCACTTGTTGCCTCTTCCCATTTTGAAAAGGAGCCACTGATAAGTACTCTCTGAATAAGTTTCTGTAACCCACTGTATATCCACCTGGCACCGTTCTATCCAACCCACACCTAGTTATCTTGCTAATCAGAATATCATGGAGCACTTTGTTAAAGACTTTGCTGAGCTCAAAATATATTGCGTCTAAAGCATTCCCACTGTCCACCAGGGAGGTTACCTGATCAAAGAATGAGATAAGATTAGTCTGGCAGAATTTGTTCTTGACAAATCCATGTTGGCTTCTCGTTATTACTGCATTGTTTTCAGTGTGCTTGCAAAGTGACTGCTTTATAATCTGCTCCAGAATTCTCTCTGGGATTGATGTCAGGCTGAGTGATCTGTTGTTCCCAGGATCCTCCTCTTTGCCACCTTTGAAAATAGGGACAACATTAGCCTTCCTCCAGTCATCTGGCACTTCACTATGATTTCAAGCAAATAATAAGACAGTGGTTCTGCAGTCTCTTCAACTATTTATTTATTTATTTATTTATTTATTTATTTATTGGACTTATATACCGCCCCATAGCACTACAAGCACTCTCCGGGCGGTTTACAATTTTTAATTATACAGGCTACACATTGCCCCCCCAGCAAGCTGGGTACTCATTTTACCGACCTCGGAAGGATGGAAGGCTGAGTCAACCTTGAGCCGGCTACCTGGGATTTGAACCCCAGGTCGTGAGCACAGTTTTAGCTGCAGTACAGCGTTTTAACCACTGCGCCTCCTTCAGTATCCTTGGATGCAGTTCATCTGGCCCTGGGAATTGGAACTCATGCACATAGCTTTAACGTTGGAGGAAGCCTTTACGTTCCTTTGCTACTCTGAATTCTGAAGGATGCTTCAATTTTCATTGATCCTCTACTAGTCTGCACAGTTGAGATGCACTAGTGTGACTGCAGCGTTTAGGTGGCACACCACATTACTGTGATGATGGGGTGACCTAAACTTTCTTTCCTTAGGACCCTCTGCATACTTATTCTGTAATCCTTAACCATGGGAGCAAACCCCCCCCCCCCAAACTTCCATTTGGCCATGTTGCAGGCAAAGTTGTACTTCTGTTGAGTAGAAAGATACAGTGAATAATATATAGCCACTAACTGAGCAGGAACTGCCCTGCACAAATAGTTGTTTAGGTGTGGTGTGTCCTGCCTCTCCAGCTCCCAACATGTAGGCTAAGGGAAGTACTTCTCTTTGGGTGTTCAGAATATTGTTTAAAGAATTAATTGTATTTTTTGTCAGTTGTTTTTTAGATGTAGCATAGACTTGCATAGAAGTTGACTATAATTTTTCTTTATTTTACAATGATAGTAGCTTTTATTCATGCACGTTACTCTATGCATAGACGTTTGGACATGGTACATAACTTAACTTTATTAACTTTTCTTTACTATATGGAATTGTACCTGACTCTTGAAAATGTGTACTTTTAAACATCAAGAACTTTTCTTACTTATTACTGGAACATCTATTTCAGGAGACAAACTACAATATTTAGAACACTACTCAGAACCATTTTACAAGGCTAAAATTCCTTTATGCTGAATAAGGACCATTAGGTGCTGCTGTAGAATTTTTTAAAGTTCAGATGCATTAAATAATAATCTGCCCTCCCTTTAAACGAACTAATGGGTAGCATTTATGTTTTATTAGCACCAGTATCTCCAGACAGTGGTTACTCATCAGCTCATGCAGAAGCCACTTATGAAGAAGACTGGGAAGTCTTTGATCCGTATGTATTCTTATTTGAATTCTTTTTCTCTTTTTTCTGGTTTTAAAGAAGTTACCTCTGAATTAGCTATGTAACGATAAGCTAGCATTGAACTTGCTGCACTTAGCATTCATTTTATGCTTATTGCTGCATAGTTCTGCAAGATGCCATTAAGAGATCACACTAGTAGGTTCAAGTTTATTTTATTTAATAGTATGGTACTGCCCTTCAAAATAAGTTCAGCGTGGCTTATTATATTTAAAAACAATACAAATAGATATACACTATTTCTTGTAAATAGCAAACCATAATCACCAATACATTAGTCTACATAGGAAATACTTTATTAGCTTGACTAAATAAAAAGGTTTTTATTTTAAAATCTACTTACTCAATCCCAAAAGATTCAAAATTGGTTCACAACTCCCCAAGGGAAAAAATTAGAGCTAGGAGACACTACCCATTTTTGGTATATTCACCATCCAGTTATGACATGGATTTATGATAGCTGCTTTCAAATCTGGTACATTTTGTTAATACGCTCATGCTTACCAAGACCATTAATGTACATCTGTCATTGTTCCATTTGCAGTGTAAAACAGTAATTGGAATGAATTGTCAAACATAGTGTTGACTTGTCTATCTTCTAGGTATTACTTCATCAAACATGTTCCACCACTAACAGAAGAACAACTTAACCGGAAGCCTGCTCTTCCACTCAAAACAAGAAGCACACCAGAATTTTCTTTAGTTCTAGATTTGGTAAGAACATACAGCAAAGTGCCTATTCAGTTAATATAGCATTTCTGTGCTGTGCAAGTTGCAAGTGGGAAGACTTGTAGTGCATCTTTCTCTGCTAAGTCTTCTCTTTTTAAAATTCTTTTTAGGATGAAACTTTGGTCCACTGTAGTCTAAATGAACTGGAAGATGCTGCACTCACATTTCCAGTCCTTTTCCAAGATGTCATTTACCAGGTAATCAAACCCATGTATAAACCTGCTCTTGTGTGTTAAATGGGCAAACACTTACCATGCTCTTGATGTCTTCCTCCTCTCCCCAAATGTGGCAAACAAGTGGTATTGGTTGCTTTACATGAAATGTTGTCAGACAAATCATGAAGTATTTATAAGGTATATTTGGCACATTGCTTATTTGTTAGTTGTAAAACCATTCCTTTGTTAAAAAAAAAAGAACTCGACTATTAGGAAGCTACAAGAGTTTCTCTTAACTTGCATTACTACCAAGTAGTTTTCCTCTTCTCCAGCAAATAGAGGAAGGATCACTGGAGGGTTACATGATTGTTTTACAAATGCAGAGTTGCTGCAGTGTTGGTTATTCTGTGCATGACGATAAACCCAAATTATCATAAACACTCAGTTCTGATGAGAATAATACATTTAGAGCTAGAGAAAAATTGCTCAGAGAAGCAAATCCATTTCTTCATTCCTATTTAGTTGCTATTTTTGTAGGAACAGTTACCTTCTAAATGGAGACTGCTAGAGTGCTTCACAAAGTATTCTTAGCTTCCATCACTGTGCATTCAACAATTCTGTCACTGAAGATGAGGGGAAGGTGGAGTAGAAGGAGGTGTGTTCCAGCAACTGTCAAAGATGCTGCACTGACCCCAGCTGTTGTTCTCAGGTCCCTATTGTGTGATGTACCTGGGAGTAGCAACAGCTTTCCTCCATGTAGTTCGCATGATATTGGACCCCTCTGTAATATCTTTGGAGAATGACATCAGACACCTTAAACGGACACTTGTCCAGGTATTTCACCCTAATTTTAAAACTTGTCTTTTGTCTTTTTGTCTTATTTAAAATCCTTCAAAATTCTAAAGCTTAAAATGAAAAATTCCAAAAATAAACATGGTTTCCTTTCTCCGATTTGGTGTTAGGTTCCTCTCAGATCTTATTAGTCAGGACAATGCAGTTAGATGTTTTGGGTAGCAACAACTTAAGAAAATGTTCCCCCAGTGGTCTTTGGGGTATATGTGATGTTACTGCGATGCTTTGACTCTGCTGCCAGTGATACAGCTTACTGATTAGCTAAATATTAAATTCTGTTAAATTAAATTTTGTCTAAAATAATATTCTGTATATGTCTGAGATTAATGCCCAGGTCAGCAATAAAGGACACATGTACAGAGCAAGGATAGGAAAAGAGAGGCGTGTTGGCCGGTCTGTGACCTCAAGGGCCCCAAATGAAGTCCCCAGCAGAGGACATGAGGAGGATTTTTCATTTTTTTATTAAAGCCAGTGTAAAATAGAAATATTTTATGGGTGGCCTGGGTATGGGAGCTGGTATAGCCATCCAAGGTACAGAAGCAGGCATGCATAGACTCAAACGTTTGAAAGTTGCCTACCCCTGGGTGAGAGCATTTAAGTGTTTAGTTTGTATTTTCAAGTTTCCAAATCTTGGCTGAAAAATATTCTTGATTTTTTGCTGATATTTTCTCTCCTAGTGTTTAGTAAAGTTTGCACCTTGTAACTTTTTCGGGTATTATAGGGACGTTTAAGAGGGAACATGGTGATTTCCTACTCTCATGAGTATTTCCACTAGTGGAAACAGGTTAAACAGCTGAAGTTAATCACACTAAGAAATGCACTTCACTATTTTCAGAGAAACCTGTTTCTAAGTAGCTGGGATTCAGAGGCCATAGGTAGAAACAGGTTGCCACTCAAAAAGCTCACTTCAACACTGGAGCAGTGCTGTATGTCTTTGGACAATGGCACACCTGAATTTCAAATCTTCAATACACACATCCAGTATTCTTCAAAATATCATTTAGTTTCCTTCTTGTTTTCTCCTGGCTGACAGGGAGGAAAAGGTCAAGGATGTACAAATACATTGATACACGATGAGTCAAATTTTTGCAAATCTCAACAAACAAACAAACCCATTTTTGTTAAATTCCAGGAGAACTGTAGTAGCCCTTGCAGGATAAACAACCTAGAGCCTTGTGACACCTTGAAAATAATACATTTATGGTGGCAGGGGGTTTTGTGTACTTGAGGCCACTTTGTTAGCTACATTATATATTTAGAACTAATATGATATTGAATAGTAAAGGTAATAATAAAATGTGGTGCTGAATTGTTCCTACTACAGCAAGCATAACCAGCAAGAGTAGAATCAGATGGTTACTAAACTCTGGTAAGCATGCTAGGGCAGTGTGCTCCACCTCCCAATTTCTTTTTCTGTAATGTTGGCTTTACTGAGGATCAGATTCAGTACAGAGCATGTCAGTCTTAAATGCTTGTCCTTGAAGCTCATTCAGTAGCTTTTTGCCAATTTCAGTTTTATTGTTTTACTTCTCACGTTGATGTATGAAGCCAGGTGAGAAGAATTGTAAACGGATAAATAAGAAGCTCTATAAATATCCTTGTTTTAGCAGAAGCTAGGACACTGGCATTCTATTTGTTGCTTTACTGTTGTTTTACCGGAAGCTGTAGAACAATTTTTACAATAAAACATTTTCTTTTTTATTGCATGTACAAAAGTGCAATGGAACATTAGTTTTTACCTAAAAGCATTGCAAGTTTTAGCACCCTAATACAGTGGATATAAAAAGTTTACACACCCCTGTTAAAATGTCAAGTGTCTGTGATATAAAAAATGAGACGAAGATAAATCATTTCAGAACTTTTTCCACCTTTAATGAGACCTATGAACTGTACAACTCAGTTGAACAACAAACTGAAATATTTTAGGTGGAGGGAAGTAAAAATAAAAAACTGAAATAATATGGTAGCATCTGTAGCTGTGTTCAGCAGTAAACAATCACATTCAAACTCATATTAAGTAGGAGAAACCTGTTTCTAAGTAGCTGGGATTCAGAGGCCATAGGTAGAAACAGGTTGCCTCTCAAAAAGCTTACCTTCAACGCTGGCATCATACACCCCTGCCATCACTTAAAGTGTTAACATTTAAAATGTTAAAGACAATTGTATGTTCCATGAGATGTATACTATTGTTTGCCTTAGCTGTTAGACTGTGGTATCAGCTGTAACCAAGGTCCCTCTAAGCCGGGCACACGCATGACTCCACCTCCGCACACGTGTGAGGGGGCAGAGGTGTGAGCACACAGAGCTGAAATTGCGCATGAGAGGTGGAGCTCCGCCCAGCAGGGCTGGCAGTTAGAGGGTACGTTGCCTGTAACATAACAATATGTTCTTCGTGGCCTCTGTGAATCCACACAAATGGGTTTAGACTGCGCCTCCACAGGACTCCTCAGAATATTATAAAGCTTAAAACTATTGATTAATAGTACGTTGCCCCGTATTGCGCATGCTCTGGCCGCCCATTACCTCAGTTCGTTTTTGCCACCGCCGCAATCGGATTTATCGTGCTAGAGCTATCTTCTCAATAATCTGGTTGGTTCTGGACTGTTTTTTCGATCATACGATGTATTTCTGGAAAATTTTGACCTTGGATTGTCTACCGGTTGCTCTTTTGAATTTCAATTTGTACGTTGTCTCCTCATTTTTTGATTACAGACTGTTTAACGATTCCCGCTTTTGGATCACAGACTGTTTTGAACTAGATCGTCTTATTCGGCTTGGACTATGGACTGTTACGACCTTCTCTTTAATCAAACAAACTCTCTTTGATTTTCATGTGATTTCAATCGTTATTATTCGGCTACTGATTTTCGCCTGGACATTGGACAATTCTTTCAGTTCCATGGGTTTCCCCGTTCCCTTCTCCCTCTCCTCCCATGGTGAAATAGTTTCTGGCCTCCTCAGGCCCTTTCAAGTGGTGTGCCAGTAAAAAATCCATTCACAGATGGCCATGACCGCTGTTTATTTTGTTTAGGGAAGGGACATCAAACACACTCCTGTCAAGAGTGTAAGAAACTCACCAAGCCAGCCCTCAAGTTATGTTTACAAAGGCTTAGATCTTACCTTTGGCAAACAGCTATGGTGGCGGCTCCAGCATCTTGCCCTGAGCCCATGGTGTCTTCGGTACTGGCAGCTTCCATGTCGTGGCGGCTCCAGCATCTTGCCCTGAGCCCAGGGCAACTTCCATGTCATCTTCTAAGTCTTCCAAGTCCACCAAACAAAAATCTTCGGTATTGGCACCGAAGAGAATTTCCACTTCTACCTCGAGCTCGATGTCGAAACCTCCAGCTGTAGAAAGCGGAAAGAAAAAGAAGGCTTTTCAACCAAGCAAAAAGACAAGCATTCATCTAAAATGGCTTGAACCTGAGAAATTCCTCCTGTTTCATCCTCCCTGCCTTCACCAATATTGGAAGAGTCCTCTCGGGATCTACCGGACCCAGACTCTCTTTCGGAAGGCGCCGGGTCCATGCCACCTACATGGGCTCAGGCTTCGGTATCTATACCGAGCCAATCACCAAGCCCAGGCCATGTTCAGGTTGATATTCCAGCCAGGTCTCTGCCCATTCGAGCCCCATGTCCATCGGGCGGGCAATGGTGGTACATCTTTCCAACTCGGAGGCATCTCCGCACCAATCTCCGCCAAGGAAATGCCTAGTCAAACGGCATCACATCTCTCTGGCTCGACAACTCTCCTCACATTGAGAGGTGATTGTCCTTCCTTGTGCGTCTCAGCGTCAAGTTCGAGTGGAGTATGAAGAGCCAATATACATGGAGGTCGATCGCTGTAACAGTCGGCATCGATATCGAGAAGACGAGTTCAAGTATGAAGAGCCAATATACATGGAGGTCGGCATTGATATCGAGAAGACAAGTTCGATGTCGACTCATATTATGAGACGGAGGGGTACAAAAGACGCAGAAGAGTCAGATATATCTATGCTTCCTCCTCTTCTCTGTCACCGCCTCCCCCTCGATGTCAAAATCGAGCGGCTTATGAGATTGAGCTTCCAGTATCGAAAACTGCCAAACACCACGTTTCACGTCAGGAGGTCCCTTTACAGGTGTCTCATGCTTTAAAAAGACCTCACACCTCCTCGACGGTGACCCTGCCTGCCTCTCATCATCACGTAGCA